CGTCTTTTTTTTTTCCGGATCAAGTTCGAAATGGCCGACTGGCGGCCATTTTGTTAAAGAATTCAGTTCTGGATCCGTATCCAAGACATGTCTGGATTGATCAAGTTCAAACTTCACACACACATGGTACATCATGTCACAAATAGATATGTGCCTTTGTTTCATGATCTGCTTAACAATAGCGAAATGATGGCCATTTTAAGGCCGAAAATGCATCAAAATCACGTATTTTCACAATTCCAGAACCGGATCTCAGTCATGCATGGATGGATTTTGTTCAGATTTAGCACAATGTGTTGTACATATGCAGGTGCATTTCGGTCATGATCTGCTTTGAATGTATATGTCACTCAAATATGAACGGAACGGGGACGTGTCATTGACAATGACTTGTCAATATCAAATTTAACATGAAACGAAATAGTGGGTGTATTATTGGGTGATGTTGCTGTGAATTTTGTGGATAGTTGCTTGTGGAATGTTACTTGACATTGGCGTATTGTCATTCAAAACACTTTGTCTGTTTTTTAGTCCCCGTTCGGACGCAGTCCGAAAACGGGGACTTATGTTTTGACCTCAGTGCGTTCATGCTTCCATGTGTCCGTGCGTGCTTGCGTCCAGACCTGTATCTTAGAAATGCCTGGACCAATCACAATCAAACTTCACACATACATCATACATGACATTATACATATGCATATCAATTTGTTTCATGATCTGATTCAAGATGGCCGAATGGCAGCCATTTTTGTACTGAAAAATCATCAAAATTAAGCATTTATCGGCTGTTTACAGATAGATTTTGTTCGAACTTGGTATATACATTGGACATTATAAGAACTTGATGCACATCATTTTGTTTTTCAGATAAGATTCAAAATGGCTGACTGGCGGCCATTTTGGTTTAATGAATGGGCTTCTAGAGCCATATCTCTGACTTGCTTTGACTGATTATGTTCAAATTTTGAAAATTCATTATGCATAGTGTCATTGAATAACAGATATATTGGTTTGACAATCCTATTAAAAATGGCCAAATGGTGGCCATTTTTGTGGTAAAAAAATCATAAAATATCAAGCATTTCTGGCATTTATGGATTGATTTTGTTCAAACTTGGTACATACGTTCTAGAGCCATATCTCTGACATGCTTTGACTGATTATGTTCAAATTTTTATTCATTATACATCATGTTATAGATATATACATGTATTCAAAATGTCTGATTTTGTTTTAATTAATGCTGTTCCAGAGCAATATCTCCCATTATGGACAAGTACTTGTTTGATGATCAGATACAAATGTCAATCATTTTAATGTTAAACAATCATCATAATCATATTCCTGACATGGTTAATTCCAGTTATATTACTATAAACAAAACTATATATCTTAAATTCGATAACTAACAGGGACTGTGCCATGCATGGCTTGTTTAATATGGTAATACACTGTAAGCTTGTTATATTAAACTCCTTGAGAGGGGCATTCAGTTAGTTTGTTAAAGTGTTCACTATAATGAAGCATATAATAAATTGGTTTGTTATAGTGAAGTGTTCACTATAATGAAGCCTATAATAAATTGGGTTTGTTATAGTGAAGTGTTCACTATAATGAAGCCTATAATAAATTGGGTTTGTTATAGTGAAGTGTTCACTATAATGAAGCCTATAATAAATTGGGTTTGTTATAGTGGAGTGTTCACTATAATGAACATAATACATTGGGTTTGTTACAGTGTCACTATAATGAAGCATATAATAAATTGGGTTTGTTATAGTGAGTGTTCACTATATGAAGCATAAACAGAAATCCTCGCTCGATTTTGCTCACTGTTACATCAAGGATTTCTAACCTGATTTGGTGAGCACTTATCCAGCTTTTTCTATCCATTTTTTACCTGTTTGATAACATGTAGATTTCTTTATTGACTTGTGTAGGAGCTAATGGTCTGGCAAGTCCTCGTGATTTCCTGACTCCTGTTGCCTGGTATGAAAACAAAACAGTGGACAACTACACAGTCATTAGTAAATACCAAGGAAAACTCTTTGCAGCCAAGCAGGTAAATAGCGTTGGTTGAAGTTATGTATTTATCATTTCATAAATTTGATTCGTAGAAATCAGTAATCAAAAAGTAGAATAAAAACAGCTGGCCAGTTCAACATCAACAGGGGTTGCAACATTTTGTTTGGTTTGGTGATTTAATGAAACAATAATTGGAAACTTTATCAAAGGTTTATTGTATCAATAAGCATTTGTTTTCAAACGAATGGTGTGTGTTTATCAACATGTGAGTAGTTTATAATTTAGAGTACTGTAAATGCTTTAATTATTCACTGGGTTTTAATTTCACTATTTTCGCTGATGAGTAAAATCCGCTAAATTAAATTTATGTAAACATGTAAAATAACAATAAAACTTGACAAATTTGTGAAATATGCTCAAAACATCAAAATAGTGAAATTAAATTTCAGTGAAAATAAATATTTTTACAGTAATCAACATCAACCATGTTTATAGTACTCATAGGCTACATTGTTTCTGATCTTTTCTGCGTCTGTGTCTGTTATGTCTAGAGACTACTTTATTTGGCTTATTTTATTAAAAATATGAATGGTGTTTAATTGTCAAACCAAAGTTACTTTTTTAGTAACCTTGAGTTAACAATGTTTGATGTAATTGTTGTGGCATTGAGTAATTTTGTGATGTCTTTGTTCAGGGAGTAAACTTCCCTGGAATTCAAATCACTGAAAATCTTCAATTAGGTAATGCATACACTTAAAATTATCTTTATCATTGGTGTATGTTGGTAGCACACACACACACACAAACACTCTCTATGACATTGAGACAGGAACAAGTAAATGAATCTGATTGGCCGGAACGATGAGTTCACTTGTTGGAACATTCTCTGGTGACCTCATTTTTGGTTTTTTCTTACCAAAGTAAAAGCATGGAGATGACACATAATTTCCGATGACCTCAGTGCATGTATTAATGTGTGAGTTTTTCCTCTTTAGGGTCACTCTCCATTTGACGTTGCAGGATGGTTTGGTAACTATGTTCCATACAAATATCATCTTGATAACTTTATGG